TTTTGTTTTGTAACTTACTGCTGGTAATCTTGAAAGCCTGGAAGTGGGGTCAGGTTTAGATTTAATACTGACACTGATTTTGCTGGTTCATCTGCTCGTAGCCATTTGTATTGTTAAAAACACTAGGTGCAGGGGTGCTGTTTCCGGTGTATTTTGGTTCTTTAGTCGGCCTTGGTAGCAAGTTTTGTTTCTCCTTTTACTTTCAAGTAGATAATTCCTTGTACTGATTAGCTCATAAAGAGTCCTCCTTTTGTTATATTCTGTTTTTGATTTGGACAGCACCCACCGGCCCCATTCCTTGGTTTGTGTTTTTTTCTTCATATAAACCATTATTTTTACAATTTATGATACAATAAACAACTTTATACCTATTACCAACTGGGTTTTGTGTTGCTTCCCTTTCCCCTGTGAGCCGGGTTGTAACAGTTAGCCTAGCTCATATAATCTAAAGGTACCAGGTTAGAGGGAGGAGGTTAGTCATGCAGGTTCTAGAACTGAGACGTACTACTATGTGTTTGAACATACGAGTACCCGATTAACTGTATGACTGACCACAACCTAAGCAAACATTACAACAACAAGACATCAATCAACAAGTACATTAACAAAGTTAAGCTGCTTAGCTATGCTGTGCTGTGCTGGGAAAAGTTAGGCCCAGTCAGTTAACGTTACCCAGTCCTTGGAACAAACAAAGAGGTCCTTTCCAGTGTTGTTGTAAAGTCCAGTGAGTTGGGTGGTTTCCTGGTGGAGTGAAGTCCTGTCTGGTTGTGTTGCTTTGCTGTTATCTCCTTTGTTCTCCTCACAGAGTTAGCTGTTCCATGCCAACTCTGCTATGAATCCTGTTGCTTGGAAAATCTGCTGGCTTTGTGTCGTAGCTGCTGATTCTGAAGAGAACTTGGTTCACTCTGAGTTAATCCGAAGCAGGTCACTGCTGTTTAGGAGAAAAGTGTTTGCAGGCTGCTGTGAGCAAGCTGTCGAGAGAGCTGGTTTCTCAGGTAGCAAGGCTGACCTGGGCTGGGGCCTTGTTGACCTTTGAGGAGCCGAGAGGAGAGAGCAGGAGCTGCCCTCCAGAGCAAGCCGAGAAGAGAGAGAGAAGAGAAGAAGGAGATCTGGTTTTGTTTGGTGACACCCTTGGGGGTCACATGTCACACGCTGACCCACACTGGCTGGCCAGTAAGGTCTGTGGGGGGAAGGGTCGTCCCCAGGTGTGAACAGTGAGCAACTGTGGGGTGTGAGTTCCTTTGTCGACTGGAGCAAAGAAACATCTGGTCTCTTGAATGATGAGTCCCAACAACGCAGTCATGAGCAGAGTGTTAAGACCAGCCTACTGGGAGTTGCACTGTAGCTAAGGACCCTTGGCTGGAACCCAGGTCTGTGGTTGCCATGGTAACCCTGGAGACATGGGATCTAGGTGGATTCTCCTGGAGGCTGTGTCCCATTATCACGGTGACGGATTATGTCAGTGTCTCAGCAATTCAACTCTGGTGGAGTTTGCCAGAAGACTTTCTGTCTCGGGCACTCTTGATTTCTGGTCGCCTTCTCTGCAGGCGGTCATGCATGGGCAGATGTGTTATCTGCTGGCGTCTCTTGCGGGTCGATGTGAAATAAACTCTAATGCTCTTCACTTTGGCTGGATAACTTTAGATGAGACTGGCGTTGATCAGATATCTCTAAAGTTGTCAAAAAGCTTCAAAAAGGAAAACTTGATAATAATTAAAAATTACAAAATTACTCTGAGGCACTACTGTTGTTTTGGTACAGCTGGTCTTTACTTGGCTTATAAAAATAAAAGATCGCGCATGTAAACAAAAAGAATGTTACTTGGAGCACATGACAAAGAAATAATAAAGGACGCGGGCAAAACGATCAAGTGCCAAAATGGAGCCATGAGTTCGTGGCTAGCAGCTTAGAGCTAAGAGCCAGGCTGTTGGTAAGAGCCTGGACTACAGAGCTTTCAGCTTATAGCTTTCTAGCCTTCTATAACTCAGTTTCTAGCTTCTCTTGTCTTAACTTTTAGCAATGTGTGAATTGATCACAACTTTTTTATCCCCTAGGGACTGGCACACGTTTCAGGGGCGTCACCCATCTTCTCCTTTGTTTCAACTTGGTTGAGGTAAAGGAAAAAAATGAGGGAAAGAGCAATGTTGGGAAGGAACAGCAAAGTAAATAAGGAGGTATGGGTGGAAGAAAAACGGGTAGGGAAGGAAACAAGGAGGTAGTGAAGAAATGAGGAGATAAGGAAAGAAATACAGAGGTAGGAAATTAAAGAAGGAGTGAAAGTAAGAAATGAGAAGGTAGTGGAGGAAGGAAGGAGGCAAAGAAGGAAATTAGAAGGTATGAGAGGAAATCAGTAAGGTGGACACATCTACCTCTGATGATGATGATGATGATGATGTAAACTTGTTGTAATGATGTAATAATGTAACTGTGATTAAATGACTTTCCTCAGTAAAGTCTGCAGTTGTCCAGGAACAGATGCGTCACAGTCTAACAGAGATTCTTCAGTGATAGTAACTTAAGTAACTTAAACACAGAGAAAACATGAAACCCAAAGGACTATGTTTGTGACACAATGGGGAGCTCCCCCCACAAAAAACATAAAAGTAGAAGTAAAATAAACAAACAAAAAAAAACAACAAAATTTAGATTTGATAAATGAAGAAACAAGGGAGGAAGGACACAAGAAGGTAGGACAGAAAGTAGGGTCGCATAGTGGAAGAATGGAGGAGGTATGGAAGGAGAGTGGGCATAATGAAGGACAGGACAGTGTATGGAAGGAAAAAGGTTGGATAGGGAAGAAAAAGAAAAGTAGGAGGAGATAATGGAGGAAATTAGGTGACAAGGAAGGAAAGGAGAGGGTAGTGATAGAAAGGAGGAAATAATGAAATGCACAAGGAGGTAGAGAAGGAAAGGATGAGGCAAGGGAAGAAATGAGTGGTTATAGCATTAAAGAAAAGAAAGGAGGTTGTGGAAGAATTCTGAACGGATGAGTTTATGTATTTCATTGTCTGACTGTTTGATGTCCTTTAAGTCAGCCTTCTGTTGATACCTGCTGAGGATTTCCAATATGGCTGCTGGAGGCGGAAGATGTCACCTGACTGGTTTGTGTTTCTGTCTGTCCTTCAGTCTTTGAACAAAGAGACTCTGTGCAGGATTCCTCAGAGCATCAACACCTGGACGATCCACGGTCTGTGGTAAAGAAAATGTAGAACTATTACAGGACAACACATTATCATGTTCTATAATTACTTAAGCAACATCAGTGTAAAACCTTGTAACTCCATCCATGTTAAAATGAATGTTTGTCCTGTATCTAAAGCAGTGTGACCTTGTAAAGCTCCATATTTTCCTCTTCTCCTGTGTTTAATTTGAAGTGTTGATCTATAAGAATATCTTCTTATATTTGTCATATTTGTGGTTTTAAGTACCAAAAACCATCTCAGTGTAGCCCTGGGAGTTAGTTACCACACTTCATTGTCCTGGACAACACAGATTTGCAAGAAATATTTATTTATTTTGAACAGTGGACATAACCTATTTCTTAATTGCCGTAATCTACTCGGCCTGGGTCAATAGGGATATTGGACAAAAAAACAGTCCAAAGTCTAGAAAAATGCAACAACAAAGACAGCTAGCACAAAAAAATATTACACAGAACAAGATAAAATACAATAAAGTAAAATAAAACAGAAACAAAACACAGAAAACAGTAGAATGCTTACCGTCTTTTTAGTTACTTACATTTCACAGCAGTTTCCTTACCTCCATGTTGGAGGTAAGGAAATTGGTTAAAGTCTCATAACAAGAGGAGTTTTTATCAGCTTGCCTCTACTTTGACGTGTTTTCTTTGGACTTGTTCAGTTTAGTGAATGTGATGACTGAAGAGAAACATTCGTTTGGACTTTCCTGGCTATTTCTTGTGAAATTCTAAGTTTTGTTTCAAAACTTAGAAGTCTAGTTTCAATCAAACAATGTGAACATAGAACATTATTCAGTTACTGAGCCAGACTCCTGCTGTTGCTGTGGCTCACCTCCCATTCTCTCCTATTGTATTATTGAGTTGATATGATTGGCTGCTCCTGAGTGTGTGTGTATGTGTGTGTGTGTGTGTGTGTGTGTGTGTGTGTGTGTGTGTGTGTGTGTGTGTGTGTGTGTGTGTGTGTGTGTGTGTGTGTGTGTGTCTCCAGGCCACTTCAGGCACAACACTGCTGCAGCTGCTGGCCGATGTTCCACTCTGACGTCCAGGTGAGCACGGATCAGGATCATCTCACCTGGTTACCTCAGGTGTCTGACATAATAGACGAGATGGTACCGTCTGAGACTGAGAGCTGATTGGCCAATATCATTTATGTTCCAGGAGCTGGAGGCAGAGCTGAGCAAACACTGGCCATCGTTAGTGACAACCAAATCCAGCTTCCACTTCTGGTACAAAATATCAAGAAATATGCATGAGCTGATCAGTAACAGTAGCTGTCAGTAGAGAGATGTCTCAGATGTGTTACAGGTTGTTTAGAAACAGTGTCTCCATCACAGTTTGTCCACCAGAAAGCTCTGACAACTGGACAATCCTCTCTACATAATTTGGTCACTAATCTTTAATGAGCAAATTTAAGAGATCAGTTCAAAAAAGCTTCTCGTTTCTGTTATGCATTTATGTTCAAAAGCATTTAAAGGTGCCTTGCCAGCAGGCTAGTGGTTGAGATGCAGTCAACTATATCACTGCAACATCCCTCATTCAATCCCAGCTCGGGGGCCGATTGATGCTAGTGTCAAACATCCAGTATGACCCAGGCTAATGTAGATGTATGAGAACAATGTGTTAACATTATTCTGTGTGTGTCAAGTGTAGATGTGTACGTCTGATTGTGTTTGTTTGTGTGGAATAGGAGAGACGAGTGGAGAAAACATGGGGTGTGTGCAGCGTGTGTCGAGGGAATGAACTCTCCTCCAAGATACTTCCAGATCTGCCTCAAACTACGAGCACAATTCGATATCCACAAGTTAGACACACACACACACACACACACACACACACACACACACACACACACACACACACACACTCACACACTTACCTCTTAGCATGTGTCACTTTTGGAGGAAGTACATTGGCTTCCATTGTTGACCTAGAACTAAAAGGTACTGTTGCAGATTACGACTGAAAAAAACTTCACATGCACAACTGTGGAAGTTGTGTTGACCAGTGGTCTTTACCCAACAGGTTTTGGCTCAAATGTTGATTTGTTTTAAGCCTCCACTGCACACTGACCCCACAGACTGAGCACACAGTCACAGATTAGACTCATAAAAAAATCTGAAAAATATTTTCGTGTGTGTGTGTGTGTGTGTGTGTGTGTGTGTGTGTGTGTATATGTGTGTGTGTCCTACAGACTGCTGGAAGATGCTGGCATCACTCCATCCTGTGAACGGCCTTACAAGGTAACAACACACACTCACAATTTACAATTTGTTAAAATCTGCTCAACTGACCTCATTATCACCTGTTATACTATTTTATTTATACTTTATAACAACTGATGAGAACATCACAGACTCATGGGTTATTCATTTATTTAAGGACATATTCGTCACAACTCCTCCAACCCCAAGGCGACAGGCGTACAGATCTTTTTGGGTTAGGGTTAGGGTTAGGGTTAGCCCTAACCCTATCTATTTATTTACCATGGAGCAGAGTAAAACACAATGTCTGATCTAGTATATACAGGTGTGTGTATGTGTGTGTGTGTGTGTTTGTGTGTGTGTTTGTGAGGACACAAACAAAGGCAAGATGGCCGATTCAAAGTGGTCACTGTGACCACATGATCTGAACAAAGAAGACTACACAAGATGGCGGTAAACAAAGAAACTACTCAAAATGGCCGCTGAGACCACCTGGGGTGTGTGAGAGGGAAGGTGTGAGTTTCTTTGTTAGCCTAGCTCATGTAATCTAAAGGTACCAGGTTAGAGGGAGGAGGTTAGTCATGCAGGTTCTAGAACTGAGACGTACTACTATGTGTGTGAACATACGTGTACCTGATTAACTGTATGACTGACCACAACCTAAGCAAACATTACAACAACAAGACATCAATCAACAAGTACATTAACAAAGTTAAGACTTCTGCTGCTTAGTTATGCTGTGCGGTGCTATGCTGTGCTGGGAAAGGTTAGGCCCAGTCAGTTAACGTTACCCAGTCCTGGAAACCAGCAAAGAGGTCCTTTCCAGTGTTGGTGTAAAGTCCAGTGAGTTAGGAAATTTCCTAGTGGAGTAAAGTCCTGTCTAGCTGTGTTACTTTGCAGTTATCTCCTTTGTTCTCCTCACAGAGTTAGCTGTTCCATGCTAACTCTGCTACAACTCCTGTTGCTTGGAAAACCAGCTGGCCTTGTGTCGTAGCTGCTGATTCTGAAGAGAACTTGGTTCACTCACAGTTAATCCGAAGCAGGTCGCTGCTATTGAGGAGAAGAGTGTTTGCAGGCTGCTGGTAGCGGGCCGGCGAGAGAGCTGGTTTCTCAGGTAGCAGGGCTGACCTGGTCTGGGGCCTTGTTGCCCTTTGAAGAACTGAAAGGAGAGAGCTGGAGCTGCTCTCCAGAGCAAGCCAAAGGAGAAGAGAGCGAGAAGAGGGCCAGAGATCTGGTTTTGTTTGGTGACACCCTTGGGGGTCACATGTCACACGCTGACCCACACTGGCTGGCCAGTAAGGTCTGTGGGGGGAAGGGTCGTCCCCAGGTTTGAACGGTGAGGAACTGTGGAGTGTGAGTTCCTTTGTCCAGTGGAGCAAAGAAACATTTGGTCTCTTGAATGATTGAGTCCCAACACCCACACCTCCAATCTGATTTCATTGACTGGACTCCAATTTGCTTTTGTTGATGTCATTAGTCAAGGAGTTGGACAGACTTTTTCCAACCTACACTGTGAATGTTTGAATTATGTTTTAAGTATGGAAAGAACAACACAATAATGATTTTCATAACTTAGATGAGGATCTGACTAAGGGTATCAAACTACCATACGTTTATGGACCATATGAGTTGGTTTGATAATTCAATACCAAGGAGTAATTGAGTTCAAATGAATTTGATGAGACTGATATTAAAAAAAGTATCATTAATAATCTGTATCGAAGTCACAGTACCGTTGTCAGTACCGATATCCAGCCCTTGATATGACCATGTTTATTCCACTGTATCTTACATTTAGAAATTCAATTTATTGAAACCTAAAAACTATTCATCACTTTTTATCCATCAAACATTAAACAGTGTAAACAGACATTAAACAGTGTATTGTTTTGTATGTCAAACAAATCCAAAATGACAAAATGGTATACAGTTCAGACAGTAGATATAGATCATATAGTATAATGTAAACTGTACATTCGTCAAGATGATCACCTTCACAAGTCACATCCACTAATTAACAGTGTCTCAGTCTGTCACATGCTGGTGTCCTGACTAGGTTCTGCTCCCTGTCCTGTATCTGAGCATCAGGACCTCTGTCAGGTCAGAGCATCACCTCCTATTTTGTGTCTCACTACATGAAAATGTTTTTGTGTGTATGTGTGTGTGTGGGTGTGTGTGTTTAGGTTGCAGAGGTGCACAGTGTCCTGGTTCCACATCTAAGTGACAGACTTGAGATTCAGTGTGTGACAGACGACAAGGTCAGATTATCCGTCTTTGTCTTTATGCTGCTCTGTACTCAAGTTACAATGACTGTAATCTGAAAGTGACTTATTGGGTGAATATGCTTTACAGTCTCTGGATCTCAAACATGATGATTTGCTGCTTTTTTCTGTGTTTCTATCACAGGAAACTGAATCTCTTTCAGGGTATCTGCAAGTTACATTTAAGACTTTTTAAAGCTCCATATTTTCCTCTTCTCATGTTTTATTTGAAGTGTTGATCCATAAGAAGATATATTTGTGGTTTTAAGAACCAAAAACCAATATATTTCCAATCTTGAAAGGTTGGATGGTGGGTCCAGGTGGGCTGGGCTTATAGGGCATGGCTAGGGCGGTGACTGCTTTGCTGAGACATCACAAAGTTCCAGAAGTCCTGACGGCTGGCTTTAAGGCTCAGTTTCTGAATACAGGCTGTGTGCATTTCTCTGTGGACTGAGCGCTCTGATACTTTCACAGTATTAATATAGAACCTAGACTTGCTTTATAATATATATAACACATGGACATCTACCTTTATACTATATGACATTTTAATACCTGTTTCACAGCCATATCTGCCAAAATATGAAAAAATATCAATGGAAACCTGGATGATAAGGGCAAGAATTAATTCCCAAATGCACAAATTTATTGGTATTCATATCACATTTTCTCAATATCTAATAAGATCATGAATTGATTATTGAACACAACCTACAACTGGATAATAAACAAAAAATGGATGGATGGATTCATTTTTATTAAATTTATTTAACATATAACTTTCAGCTCAGCTCAGCTCAGAGGTCAGGAACAGTAATATTGGAGATTTTCTAGCCAGTTTTTTCTAAAATTACAAACAGAAACATTTTATAAGAAATGTTACTGCCACCAATGACAGGCAAGAAAGGAGAAGACAACAACCTTGGTACCTTTAAAGGTCCTTTGAAGTCAGGGCAAGGCAAGGCAAATTTATTTGTATAGCACATTATCATACACAGAGGTCATTCGATGTGCTTAACAGAAATAACAGGGACAACATTAAAAGATTTGATGAAGGCAGAGGAGAATAGATCAGTTTTTCAGCTTCTTTTTAAAGCCAGTTACGGTTTGGGCAGATTTGACCTCCATTGGGAGCTGGTTCCTGCAGTGGTAAGGGGTGGGGGATAATTGCTATTGTTTTGTGCAACCAACATAAACCCAAAGATATTCAATTTACTGTCACAAGCCAGTTTTCCATCACAGTTTTGCACAAAATAGAAGTGATTTTTTTTTTGAAAAGTCAACAAAACACAGTTGTGAGTGTTCTGTGTTCCCACTGAGTGATATTATGTCAATAAAACCCATTTTCTCCTCCTGTGATATCATTCCAATTAAACGTGACAAAAGATTTCCAGCAGTCTGCCTCTCGGTTGGAACTGGCTCCCTGGGGCCTGATATGGCAGCAGCCGCTACTTAAATGCAAAAAAAAAAAAGGGTTTTCATTTAAATTTTGTGAAATATTGCTTGAATAGTCCACATCATGTGAGCGTATAAATTTTTATGCGATATTTGCCAGTTTTTTCAAAATCTGAGTGTTTCCATCAAATTACGCAAGGAGCAGGTCAATGGAAACACATCTAGAGATAAGTGAGAAAAAACTGTGAATATAGCAGATATTAATTCATTTTCAGACAGAAGACTGCCTGACTAATTGTGTCATCAGAGACAGATGACTGGTGGTTACATTTAATACATCTGTAACACATGATGATTCCTTTAAGCCTTCAGCTGTGCTTCTTTGTTACTGAACATCTGTGTTGAGCTTTTGGAGTCATCTCAGCTGGACATCCACAGTTAGAGAGAGTAGCCACAGAACTGAATCATCTCCATTTATAAACAGTTTGTGTGACTGTGGACAGATAAAGACCCAAACTCTTGGATGACGTCAGCTGATATTTCTTGTGAACAGCCTTAAAAATGTTAAAGTGTCTCTAACCTACTCAAGGACTCCTGGCTTGATAACTCCTGACTCCAGTTAGCTTTTGATGCCATTAGCTGAGGGGTTCACAGACTATTTACAGCTACACTGTTAATTGTCAATTAACAGTTATATGTTAATTTCAAACAATGAAGCTCAGCTTCAGATTTTTCTCAGCAAATAGCAATCCCACTGCAATTTGTCCAGAAATTGCATTGTCTAGTGTTTTAATGATGTTTTCAATGTGGAAGAACAACACAACGATTGTGTGTAATCAGTTGCTCATTTTGGTAACTTGGATAAAGATCTGATCATATTTTAGGACAAATATATACAGAAATGGAGGAAATTCCAGTGGACACTTTTTCTTACCATTGTTCATTCGTTCACTATGTTTCAAATTGCTCTAATAACACAGCTCTCCTCAGACAGAGACTGTGTGCTGACCTTCAGGGGATTTAGTCAAATAAGAGCGGAGTAATAATATGCAGCTGTGAAAATGAGAGTGAAGCACACTTGAACACTCTCTGGAGATGTGACTGTGGAGATCTCCATCAAGTGGCCAGTGGTATTTGAAGTGATCCCAGAAGCAACAATCCTGTGTATGAAAATAGCAAAGCAATCAGACCAAGCAGAGTCAGTGTAACTCTGTTATTCCCAGCATCTATGATTGATTATTGCTTATGTATTAAAAGCAGTGGTATCTCCCTCCAAAAACAGTCTGACGTTAAACCCAAAACATAATCCGAGGATTAGCGTTAGTACTACTGTGTCATTGATTTTTGTGCAAATCAAAAAATATGTAAGAATACATTTAAAAGCATATTTCATTTTATATATTTTATTATTTCCAATGCAATAATGTCTGATTGCATACATGAACCAACAGGGCCCTTATTAAGACACCAACATTTTGAAGGGTGGGTTTAGCCTAGTTTAGCACAAAGACTGGAGGTGGAAACAGCTCCAGGTCTGATTTTAAAGACAACAGTCAATGGAAAAAGTCCAACACTTCATCAGCTGACCAATGGTGTAACTTCATCACTCACTCGAGCAGTCAGTCACAGACATTTACGGATTGAGCGCTGGCTCAAAGTTAAAATACCATTCATGATCAATACTACAGTTTGGGTTATTTACCTTCAACAAGAGTTTGGTTTGCGTCCATGTTTGATTGGTTTTCAGACAATTCTGTGTTATTAACCAGGACAGCACTATACAAGTTTGAGGCAGTTGTACTTTATACTTCTGCTCAACTACAAACAGTTCAGAACTTTTTACAGCACTACATTTTTCTGATAAATAAAGTTGCTAATTACATTGCAGTTTTACTTAGAATGCACATAGCTTTTAAAATATGATGCATTGATTAAATAACTGAACATTATATAATTAAAGGTCCCATATAGTATAAAGGTAGATGTCCATGAGTTGTGTGATTATAAAGCAGGGTTAGTAAGGACTTCTGGAACTTTGTGATGTCTCTCAACCAAGCAGTTACCGCCCTCAGCCACGCCCCAGTCCCCGCCCACCTGGACCCACTATCCAAACTTGCAGGAATTAGTTTCTATGAGTGTTTACCTGAAATTTGCTATCTTTTTATTAGATCACTCAGAAAACAGTCAGCCAATGAGAAGAGAGGCTCAGAGCCTCCTCTCTTATGTTTGGCTCACCAACCTGTTGTTACAAGAGAGGAGATGTAAAACCACATTGAGATGGTTTTTGTTTGTTAAAACCACAAATATGTCCTCTTATGGATGAACGCTTCAAATAAAACACTGGAAAAGTGTAAAATATGGACCTTTAGATTAAACTCTACCTTTACCAGCTACAATGTTATAATGCTGTTTACATGTTAATGCATCATTAATTAATAATTGAATAATCTAACAATGACCAGGGCTGGGGTTCTGTTACCTTTAATATTCTGAGTACATATTGCTGATAATGCTTCTGTATTTTTGAGTAGCATTTTGACAGAAGGACTTCTTATTTTTACAGTGCAGTATTTCTACTTTAACTTAGGTAAAAGATCTGAATATTTAAAAAAAAACAATTACAACTCGAAAACTGGTAATTAGCAACATTACAAGAACGTAATAGAGTTCTACTGTCAACTAAACGCAGCTGAGTACTGGACGGATTACAGACAAAGGTACATGTACATAAGACAGCTTTGGAGTTGTAGAGAGATTTTTTTTTCCTCTTTTAATGGCACTGGGCTTTGTGCTATGCTAGACTGAACCCATCTATATTTGTCCCAGATGTACCCACATTCAAAGATCATCTGATGCCGACACCAACAAGCTAATATTAAAAGGTAGTTACTGCTGGAGGTCTGTGTCTCCTCACATCTGCCTATGAGCTGCAGTGTCTCAGTTGCACCTCACAGCCCTGAGTGATTTTTACTAAACAAAAGGCTCAAACTCTTATAGTAGCTGTCAAAATAGGCTCTCAGTTTACTGACCAGCCACATACTGTGGAGCGGTGTCATCCAAGCGCTGGAACATGTCCTGGAAAAATCTCTTAAGACCCACAACCCTTTGACTCCAGATGGTTTTAATATCATTTAATCTTCACTGCTTTCAACAGCCAAAGAGGATCAAACTGATTATTGTATTACTAAATACTCTTAGGTCACTGATACCTCGTCTCTGCTCTCTAAAGGCTGCAACACTCATTGGTTATCTGTTGGGACTGAAGACTCTTCCGAGAGTTATTAGAACTGACAGCTGGTTCTGATGTCTGTCTGTGAGTCAATCAAACACTCAGTTCAGTTTATTTTAAAAAAGTGTGTTGTGTTCTAACACAATTAAATGTTTATTTCTTGCTCAAACCGCTTTAATCCAGATATCTGAGCTGCTGCAGGAGAAATCTCCACATAAATGCCATATGCATAAATAACATGTTAGAGATTTGACAAGTGTTAACAGGTTGATATTTTACATCTTAAGATGTTTCATATTGGCATATTAACACGTAAATACCTGTGTCAGCCAATGGGTCGTTCCATTTTTGTCTAATAGGGTTGTTAAAGAAGACGTCTGAGGCATAGTAATTGTTGGCTGCTCAACCGTTTGTGGCGCTCACAACCCAAAATATATCACTATGCACATTCACGTTTGTACCATCAGTGAATGTATGACGCTGTGTGTCTAATCTTTCACACTGATGATGCTGTTTCTCCAGAGGAAAAGAAAACTGGATTTTCTTTATCGTTTCCACCATCTCCTGTCACACTGACCTTGACCTTTGACTATCAAAATTTAATCAGTTTGTCCTTAAGTCCAAGTGAATATTTGTGCAAAATTTGAAGAAGTTCCGTCAAGGTGTTACTGAGATATTGTTTCCATGACAACCCGACAACCTAAACACATAATTCCTCTGGCTTTGGCTGTTGCCAGCACGGAAGAATAAAAACTCAAGGACATCTACCTTTATACAATATGGGACCTCTAAGTGAATTGTGACAGGTATCGTTCTAATCAACAATGTTATGCAGGGATTATATTTGAAATACTTTCATTCAGCACCGTCACCAAGCAGTTTTCTGCTTCTAAATCTTCACATAAAAATGCAAAGTTTGTCTAGAGGAAAAATCATGTTTTGTAGTTTTGTAGATCATTTCTCATTTCTAGTAATAATATTACACACAGAACTCACTAATAGTGCTTTGACACATGCACTGCCACCATGAACTTCTCTAGACATTACTCCCAGGAGGAGCTGTGTGTGAGGACACTAACATGTGGATCACCTGGACCGACATTAAGCAGACATCCCCCTGCAGCTCCCTGGTATAAAGTCTGTGTAATGTCCTATTTGAGTCGATGTGTGAATAGAGCAGATCACTGTCTGGAGAATTTATAGCAAGCAGGTGGATGTGTCGGTAACGTTTCTATCATGCCTCCTGTGCCAGCACCATTGGCTCTAACCAGGCGCCACCCCTCGCTTAAAGGTGTAATGTGTAAGATTGTGCTTCTTGCTCCACCTCCATAGAGGGCAGCATTTCACCTCTTCACCCCTGTCCAGTTAATCATGTTGTTTTCCCCATGTTCCTAATAATTTATCATTTATTGTTGATAGTTAAAATTGTTGATAGCACCGAAACAAATTATGAATACTTGTAATACAAACAGTATGTTTTTATTTACCTATACAAATATGAAGGCAAGGGGATACTGCGTGACACATGGATGTCAGGCTACAGCAGCATGAGGAAGGGATGATAACATTATCACAAAGGCAGAATCAGAAAATCAGGTTAATTGCCAGGTAGGTTTTTACTTACAAGATATTTGGCTGGGTGTTTGGTGTAGTATACAATAAACAGATTAACAGGAAATAACAATAAAAAGGTAAAATACTGCAACAGTCAAAAAGATAAACATACATAGATACACATATTCATAAAATAAAACTATGAAAAAAAACAATGTAAATAAAACTCCTGCTGATCAGGATATGCAAAAGATCACAGTATAGACAGACTGTTCTGTGCAGGAATAATACTCCAAGGTGTTACTGTAAAGTGGTTTTTGATTGATGAGGCCAGATGCAGAAGAGGAGGAAGGTGCTGGTCCATCACTGGGGAGGACTGGACAGAAATTCTGATCCTGATACAGACAAACATGTGATTGGACAATTAGTTTAGATCATACAAGTTCTTTATATTACAAACATAATACCAACTTGTAAGGATAGTAAGGATAGATATGAATATGCTAAAATAAATACAGTATTAGACAGTCTCTCTCTCAAATTGAATCGATGTATTGGTCTCTCTAGTCCGCACTAGTCAGACTAGTGCGGACTAGAGAGACCAATACATGATGAACTGATGAAGCCGCTTGGATAAGAGGCGAAACGTCTTCCACAGACAAATACAAGTCCAGTTGCCTTCGATTCAATTTGAGAGAGAGATAACTATGACCTGGACGAATGAGAACATTCACAGACAGTATTAGACAGTGGATCCTGAACCCACTGGTTCTGGACCAAACTGTCTTTTTGTCTTACTTGTAAAAAAAAGTTATTGACGCATGTCCAGCTGGACAACAGCCGCAGGAACAGGCTAAATTCTACTACATAGCTAAAACGTCAACATCATACATTTATGCCATTTGAAGTGTTTGTCAGTACGGTTTGTCATTTGCACTAGCAGATGGGTACTAGCAGTAAGAGGATGAATGTGGGTGGGATGATGTTGCGTTCAAGGCAACTGGAACGGCAACCCTAATTACAACACGGCCTGGGACGCAGCTAGTTGGTTAGCATGTTCATTTCAGTAGATATCTCTGAAATACAATAGATGGAGGTCTTGATCAAGACATCATCACTGTGGCTCCTTCACATAGCCTACTATTGATAGTGTTAGTTCATTTTTTAAAACATTTTAATCTAAAATTCTGGCCAGGTCAGGCCCAATCTTACACATTACACCTTTAAACCAAACCAGACATGTGTGAAACATGTGTGCAAGTCTGGACAATGTCTGGACCTGATTCACTGGACATTTTCCATACATGAATACTTATAGGAACTGTACTTTAAAAGCTTACAGTTGTGGTGATACAAGCAGCAGGACGAGTTACGCGCCAAAATTTGGTGGAAGAATAATAATAAGCCCGAAGGAATATTAATAGATGCCTCGGAGCTGAGCACCCGTGGCACTAATTAATATCTGCCTGCTGCAAGCCAAACGTGTAATTGCTCTAAAATGGAAGGAAACTCAGAGACTGAAATCTAGTCATTGGATTAGCAAGATGTCTTGTAGCCTGGCATTAGAAAAACTAACCAACATATTAAGAGGCAAAGTTGAACATTTTTACAGATGCCTGTGATGACAGAGATCGGTGCTACCACCACGATCCCATGGTAACTTGTAATTTGTACTGCAGCAAGGGGATCGTGGTTGTGAACAAGGAAAGAGATTAGGATGATAACCAAATGATAAACTTCAGTTTTTTATTGATCTTTAATTAATTAGAGTGCTCCTATGATTTCTGAATTATGTATACATGTATATGTGTGCATATACTGTATGTATTTATATATGTATATATACTGTATATGTATATACATATGCATGTATATACATACAGTAGGTATACTACCTTGTATGTAATTTATTTATTATATTTATTTGTTTTAAATTTTTTATAGTCTATATACTTTCAACTTATTTTGATTCTTGTCTGTATGTATAACTCAATATTTAGAGTTATGGTTTATTAAGTTTTATTTTTAATTTTACAGAGACTGTTGTTTTTCGGGGTGGGAGGGAGGATCTTAATGAAGGTCTAAATGATGTGTTTATTCTTTAAATTCAAAATGAACAAAAGCCAATAAGGAAAGTATTGGGAAAAAAAATAACAAAAACTTCTTACCAGTGGTGTTAGCTGTGTTTTATATCCAGTCTTCCCTCTCTCCCCCCTCAGGACAGAGAGGTGTGGTTTCAGGTGAAGATCCCTCTGTCTCACAACCTGACTCTCGGCTGTGATCACCATGGTGATGCTGAGAATGACCTGGCGACCGGATCCAACCGGGCATGGAACTCCTCTCCTGGACATCCCTGCCCTCCTCAGGTCCCTTTCTACTACTTCCCAATAGACCACCAGCAGCCCAAGCAGCCCTGTGGCTGAGAGGACCACGGCACCTGAAAACCCTCAGTAGCAGCAGCCCCAGCAGCTTCCTACTGTCTTCAGTGGAGAACTGTACTCTGAATGTGTAACCTAAGTTATTACTTCACATCTACATCAACAAATAAATCAATTCATACATTTACAGAATTTGAATGTGTTATTTTTGTTGCCTCTGAACCATTGATTAAAGACATTTTGATTTTCCATGTGTCATTGATCATTTGTTTCTCAAAGCTGATGCTGTTTATGTTTAGTTTAAAGGTCACAAAAGCCTGTAACAGAACATTTAAAACATACACTGAATCTGCAGAGGTTTTATTATTTATATACTTGTCAACAAACCAGCATCTGAAGAGACAAACCATTGTTTCTAAAAACTATTAAAAACACATCACTGGTGCACTGGGTGGCATGTTCCTTTATCACCATGAACACCTACACACAGTTTGTTCAGACTCAGTCCCACACATAAAAACTGTCAAGACAGTAGCAAATGTGGATTAATCCACACCTGAAAATGACCGAGCTTTAAAACTATACTTGCATTTTTAAAGATTTACAGTTGCAATCAAAATTATTCAACCCCCACTGCAAATCAGGTTTATTGGCAAAATGTACAACTAGCAGCTATTTGCAATAAACAAATCAAACAAAAACAATTTAAATAGCTCAACACAACTAATAATACAAGTGGTTTCTCCAAATTCAACACAAAATGCCACTTTTATTGACTACTGCACTCTACAAATTATTCAACCCCTTCATGACAAGCATCTTTAGTACTTAGTAGGGCATCCTTTTGCTGTTATGACCTGCTGCAAACGTGATGCATACGTGCATACGTGCATACATATGCAAACGTGACTCCAGCTTCTGGCAGCGTTCCTGAGGAACCTTAGCCCGAAAAGTTCCAGTTTTGTTTCATCGCTCCACAGAACAGAATCCCAAAACCTCTTTGGCTTATTTATATAGTTTTGAGCAAATTGGAGCCGACTTTTCTTGTGCTTTTGGGTCAGAAGTGGTGTACGTCTTGGAGTTTGGGCATGGAGCCCTTCAGCGTTTAGTATGTGCCTTACTGTGGAAACTGAAACCTCAGTGCCTGCTGCCACCAAGTCTTGCTGCAGGTCTTTTGCAGTCAGTTGAGGGTTTTTGACCACCTGCCTCCTCAGGCCTCTGGTGGCAGCCGTTGATAGCTTCCTCTTTCTGCCACGTCCAGGTAGTGTAGCCACTGTTTAAACTTTAAACTTTAAACTTGCGAACTATGCTTCCAACTGTATCTCTAGGAACATTCAGTGCCTTTGCTCTCTTTTTGTGTCTGTAGCGTTAACGCCATATTTTAGGATTTACTCTCGTTGAAATGGGGCACCAGTCCTCTAGGAGGACAACAATGAATTACTTCATTGCCAAATTTATCAATCTCATATCGGAAGCCATGACTTCTCGATTCAATAGATCTCCAGTCTCTACGTCAAAAGAACACAACAGGACAACAACTGGGTGTAAATTAAGGCGTTTATTTAACTAAGCTACTATCTACAGAGTAAATGCAAGGTGTAATAATCATAACGATGAAAATAATAAGGAAATGAGCAGTGTGATGAGTTGGCAATTGTGGGAGAGAATATGTTATGGCTATACACTATGGCTATACAGCTTATGATACTACATCTACGAATTAGGTTTGATGATTAAATATTGCTATATTTCGACATCAACCCAGTCACGAGCAGAGTGTTAAGACGGGCCTACTGTGAGTTGCGCTGTAGCTGAAGACCCTCGGCTGGAACCCAGGTGGCTGTGGTTGCCGTGGTAACTCTGGAGACGCGGGATCTAGGTGGATTCTCCTGGAGGCCGTGTCCCGTTATCACGATGACGGATTCTGCCGGTGTCTCAGCGATTCAGCTCTGGTGGAGTTTGCCAGGAGACTTTCTGTCTCGGGCACTCTTGATTTCTGCTCGGCTTCTCTGCAGGCGGTCGTGCAGATGTTATCTGCTGGTGTCTCTTGCGGGTTGATGCGAAATAACTCTAATGCTCTTCACTTTGGCTGGATAACTTTAGAGGAGACTGGCGTTGACCAGATGACTCTAAAGTTGTCAAAATCGTCAAAAAAGGAAAAACTTGATGATGATTAAAGTTACAAAATTACTCTGAGGCACTTCTGTTGCTTTGGTTCAGTTGGTCTTGACTTGGCTTATAAAAATAAAAGATCGCGCATGTAGACAAAAATCATGTTACTTGTAGCTTGTGGCAAAGAAAATTAAAGACGAAAAGAAGAAGAAAAGTGCAAAAATGACTAAGAGCAATGAGTTTGTGGCTAGCAGCTTAGAGCTAAGAGTTCACATGGCTACAGAGCCGGGCTTTGAGCCGGGACTCTGAGCTTTGAGCAAAGTTCTCAGCTTCTAGTTTCTGCATCGTTCCTCGCTCCTCGCATCTCTTGTCATCTGGGTTTCTCTGACTTTTCTTAACTGACATCTGACTTCTTCTCACCTTTCAGGCTTTTCTTGGAACTTTGTGACTTGTTCTGCTCTGCCATCTGACCCGATTTTCTTTGAACTACTCTATGTGAATTGATCACGACTGTTTTATCCCTTGGGGGCTGGCACATGTTTCATGGGCACCACCCATCTTCTCCTGTGTTTCCACTTGGAGAAGAGAGTAATTTTCCACTGAACTTTAGAATAATTTAAATCTAGAGTTTACTTATAAACTCGCACATCCATCTTCCACCATGACCACAAAACATTAAGTGAAATAACATATAAAACTATTTGCTCTAATAATGGCAGAGAAAAACCTGGAATCAATCATGATACAAGTGGTTAACTGATCAAAATACAATATAAACATTTCCCAAAGCTAATAGTCTATACATATGGATTACACAGCAGTTCTTCGACTGTACTAATAATAATATGGACATTCTGGGTGTCATGTAGTGTGTTACCTTGTGTGAGGGATGTTGACAGTATGGTCACATGAAGGACATTGTCTTAAAATCTACATGTTACATTTCAAACATTCTATGGGATAGAAGTTTGGGGTTAAACTATTGCATAGGAAAATCTCATGAGTTAGGGAACAGTTAGATATTTAATTTTACATTCTTCCTTAGATCTGTGTCTGTGAAGAGTGTTCTGCTGGTCACTACCCAGGATTGGAATGTGGATTGTAGTTTATGACTCTTATCTAAAGAGGGGCAGAGGAAGGGAGGTTGGTGTGTGTGTGCATGCATGGCACAGACAGGCCAGGAGTCACACCTTAGTGTTAATCAGTCCTTTGGTTGTTACTTGTCCTATACAAGAAACAATCAAATATCATTAGACAAAGTCTTATTGTTACAAACTGGAGATTTTGCCTATATTCTCCAGTTGTCTGGTGTCCATTGGTTGATCCTCTGGAGCTGACCCGTTGACCTTTGGTCTGGTTCTGTGTCATTTGGACATGCTAAAAGCATGGTCTGTTTGTGGAAGATGGGTCCTTTGTCTCTGAGTCGCAAAGTCTCAATTGTGGGTCCGTAACTCTGCATGTCCTTATAATGAACTTCCTTTATGGCTTGTGACTGATGCCAGGCCATGCATGTACGCTACATATCCTTTTCCTTGTTTGTGCAAGGCAATTATCTCTTCTGAACGTTTTGGACAATTCTCTTGACTTAGCCATATTTCTAACATGCAATGAAACGTCACCGTCAACAGTCCAGGTATTTGAAGTGTTCTATCTCAAGCACACCTGATGCAACTAATGAAGCCCTTGATTGGTTGCATCAGGTGTGCTTGAGATTTGCAAATGTGTGCTCTTATGATGAATTCTATCCAGGGGGTTGAATATTTTTGAGACTGCAGTAGTCATTGAAAGTAGGATTTAGTGTTGAATTTGGATAAAATCCTTGTAATATTAGTTTTATTTAACTATTTAAACTCTTCTTGTGTAATTTGTTTATTGCAAACACCTGAAAATTTTAAAATTTTGCCAATAAACCTAAAATGCAATGGGGGTTGAATAATTTTGATTGCAACTGTACATCTTCCATAGGAACCAATGGGCTCAGAGCTGGGAGCTGCAGACAGAGGAGGGAAAGCAGGAAGCGTTGAGACACAAACTAACACGTTGGTTTGGCTTTTTTGGCAATAAAGTACAGAAAATCCTCAGACTGATGGTCTAATAAAGTTTTGAGTGAATGTGAAGATAGTGTGAAAAGAGAGAAAGGTGAAATGTTGATTGTGTGAAGTGTCAGACTGCTTCATGTTTCCTGCACCTGGCTCTGTAAAGTTGCACACACCCACTTAAGTGTACTGGCAGAACATTATGTCACAGTGAAGTCGACCTATAACCTTATGAACATAAAATGTCATCACATAATTATTTAATCTTATTTGACATTAGTGTGGAATTTTGTCATTATTATCCTATGAATTATTGAGTTATGGCCAAAAACTTTTTTGTTAGATCACATTGACCTTTGACCACCAATTCTAATCAGTTCAATCTTGAGTCCAAGTGAAAGTTTGTGTCAAATATGAAGATTTCCTGAAGGTGTTCCAGAGATGTCCTGTTCACGACATCGGACAACCTAAAAACATAATTCCTCTGGACTGTCGTCGGAGTGGAGACATGAAAATGACTCTGTTGCCTTGTTGGTCAACAGACTCATTTGTCTGTGGTACTCCATCCAAATCACTTACTCTTTCTCCTCCTTCCAAAACACACTCATAATCACATAGTCAGTGTATTCAGCATGAGCAGAAGAAAGAGGAAGCAGGTATAAAACGAGCACACACTCAGAGAGGAGACTGTGTGCAGGTTGACAAGAGACTGTGCTGCGGCAAATACACCAGCACGCCAGTGGATTTCATGGTGTTTCATGCCGTATTCTGATCGGTTGGTTTGAAATGATGGGTTTGTAGCAGCAGTCACATTGTGTTACTACATTGTCCATCAGCAGAGACCCACCCCTTTGAAACAATAACCAAAGACACATGTAGACAGACAGGTCGACTGGTTCACATTTTATTGACATGATACATTTAGTTTTTAAACCCTCCTGCTCCCAGAAAACCAGAAGTACTGACAGAACAATGAGAAAGCACTAAAAACAGATCAGACCACTAGTTAGAGTAGCCAACAAAAACATAATAAAAAAAAAAAAAAAATCAAACAACCAGAGGTGAGAG